CTGAAGTCACTGTGTCAATCCATCTCATGGGGGTCTCTTCCTCGCCTTCCTTGGCCCTCCGTCTTTGCAAGCATATAACCTCGCCTAGGTACATGTCCAAAGTGTGAGAGACAAAGCTTCTCCATCTTTGCCTCCAAGAAGCAATCTGACTTCATTTTTCCAAGACATAATCTGTTCCAGTTGACCATGTGGTTTTCTACCTCTGAAAACCCTGCTGGTTGCCTATGAGTCGTTTCCGACTTGATGACACACAACAACCATGGCACAGTGACAGTAAAAAATCACTATGAGTTGGAATCAATTCAACAGCAGTGTGTGTGTGTGAGAGAGAGAGAGAGAGAGACAGAGACAGAATGACAGAGAGAGAGAGAAAGAGACAGAGAGACAGAGGGGGGGAGAGAGAATGGAGACTGAGGCATGGTACAGGTTAGCAGTTTGAACCCAGCTGCTCTGTGGGAGAAAAGTGCACAGTTTGCTCCAGTTAAGATGTATAGCCCCCAAAAGCCTGACAGGACAGTTCTCCTCTGACCTGTAGACCCACTGTGACTTGGAAATTATTTTATAGCAATCAGTTATGAGACAGAGGCTGAGGGAGTAGAAGCGGTGAAATTCAGACTCCATTGAAGCCGATCCTCCCTTAGAGGTGAGGAAAGGGCGGCACAGACAATTACACACTGACCGGGGCTTCCAGCTTCACATCCATAGAGACGCACATGCTCCCTGTCCTTAGAGAGCCTTGTGGCTGCTGTGGCCGCTGAGTTAGCACTGACTCAGAGCTGACCCTCCAGCCAGTTTTCAGGGACAGTAAATCTCAAAACAGAAGATTGTCCATCTTTCTTCTGGTGAGCAGCTGGTAGAGTCAAACTGTGTGTCTTTGGGCTGGCAGAACAACTCTTTGCCACTAAGCCACCAGAGCTCCTAAGACAGCATTGTTGTTGTTGATGGTGATTGCTGTGGAGTCAAGCACTTCTCATAGTGACTATATGAACAAATAATACCGTTCCATAACGATCCTCGTTTCTCCAGGTTTATAGAGTTTCAAGAGGCATGTAGTTTAGGAAGTAGATGCCACTCCTGCTTTCAAACCTGTTTTATATCTGGGAGTTCCACCAAACACTGCCCACATTGGAAAGCCATTCTGGTATTTGATAACCCAATGGCACAAGGTTCAGCATCACAGCAAACCCAGGTTACTTCATACAACACACTGACAAAGAGTGATGTACAAAGTGGAAGAATGTTCCTCCAGATAAAACAGTACTAGTCTCACTTAGCAGTGGTTTAGTGTCATCAAGTCGAGCAAGACTCATAATGACCCTTGCACAAAAGACTGGAACTCTGTTCCCTAACTAACATCATTTCTGTACGTTTATAGAGTTTCCAGAAACGTCCAGTTTAAGAAGTGTATGCCATTCCTGCTTCCCAACCGGAGTCAATCTGTAAGCTCCAAACGCTGTACATGATGGGTAACCATTATGGTACTTGAGACGACTATGGTACAGTGTTGAGCATCACAGCAACTCCAAGTTATTTAGTACAGGAAATAGACAAACAACTGCTGTATCACCTAAAGAATATTCATTCTAAAATTAATAAATTTAGCCTGGCGGTCCTATGGGATTTGAAAGACATACTCTTAATCAGGCTTCCACCCTTGGTCAAAAGTTCAACTGACCCCCGTTTTTGGGCGGGGGCAACAGTAACACACATCAAACATGACCCCAAAACAGCATTAGAAGGAGTAATTCCTTTTAAGGCAGCATTAGAAACAAGAATTCCTTCTCACAGAGTTGATGGGAGAAAGAAGTGACCCCATAAAAATCAGGTTTCTGATTTGTGCCAAGCCCCCAGTAAATGTTCACTCATTCACTCATTGCGTAATAGAGTCAAAGATGATTCATAGCTGACACTCTATTGGGTTTTCAGAGGCTGCAAATCACACAGGAGGAGAATGCCCATTTTTCTCCAGTGGGGTAGTTCTTTTGATATGTTCAATACTCTTCTTCAACACCACAACTCAGAGACATCACTTCTGCTTCTGTTGTCCTTAGTCATTATTGTCCAGCTCTCTGATGCATAGCAAGTAATTGTGAAGATTATGACTTGGATCAGGTGCACCTTAGTCTCTAGGCTGACATCATTGCTCATAAGTACTCTGGAGAGGTCCCTGACAATGGATTTTCCCCAAAGCAATTTATCTTTTGATTTCTTGACTGCTTGTGAAATAATAATAATAATAATAGTAATAAAAGAAAACTCACCCTCCCCCATCCAGACACAGCTTTCAATTCAATAAAAGTGATATTTATAAGATGAAGGAGAGCTGGAGGGTGACAATGGTCAGTTCCAACTTTACAGTACACAACAACAACAATATAAGGTGAACAATAAGGTGAGGGAGTTACTCTGTACTTAGAACACCCAGTCCCACAGGATCACATGGACAACATTTGTTCAAAGCTAAAACACAGAAGGGAGAGAATAGAAGTCTGAATAGAAATAAGAACTGTAGAGAGATTGTGGGAACAATGATAAAAGAAAGAAAAGAAGAAGAGTGCAGATGACGTCTGTATGTATTTTAAAGGGAACCACCCTGTGACACTGGCTGGATCATGCCTCGACCACACTAGAGCCGGCGGCCAAGTCAGGCTGGGGAGGCAGAAGCAGTCACTGTCCTGGGATGTCAACCTGCCCCTCAGCCTCGGGGGAGCAGCCGGGGACCTAACCCTGCCTCTGCACCTTGGCACACACTTCCCTTTTTCCCTCTGACTCATGGGTGTCTAGACCCTTCACCCTGGCCAGCAACTTGATAATATCAGCCTGGGAGCCCCTCAAGGGCTGGGTGCGGTGCTTCATCACTGCCTGCTCAGCCCAGCCCTGCGAGGGGTCAGCAGAGGTGCTGCCTGCCACGTGGCGGCCGCCTGCCGAGATCTGCCTCCTGCTCTTGTCCCTGGGTGGGCCTGGCTGGGGAACAGGAAGCGAGCATCCTGGCGCTTCTCCTGTGCTGATGCTCACTGTCCTCAAGATTGGACACACAAGTAGCCACTCATTTAACCCTGGGAAGCTTAGCTCCACTTGACCAAGAGCAAAACTGAGGCAGGGGATGCTAAGTGATTTCCATAGTTGTCCTAGAGAATTTGGCGTGCAACCCTACACCCTTAACACCACACTATGCTCAGAGG